TAACCCCTATTTTAAATGTTGCTTTTAGCTAAATTTCCAGTCCATTCTTTCATCAATCAGTATCAAAAATTAAAATAAGCAATACCAGGTTCGTCTATGTTTTCCTCTTGAGCAAATTGCTAACGCTGCAGCAGTCTACACTTCCACCCACTTTATACAAACCTCCAGGAATTGTCTATATTTGTTGACATGAACCACTTTAAGAAAGCTCATGGGTCACTTTAAGAAAGCCATTGTGACTTTATAGTGCAGATAAACTAAGTATCTTTCTGGTGTAAGGTATGAAAAATCTACAGAGAGTTCTGTACATTGAAATTAATTGAGTGGTGACCCAGTGAGACCCAAAGTTTGTTTTACAACCCTACGTTAAGATTGGGAGAAGAATGAAGACAGTCTAGCCGAACCAGTGAACCCAGGCCAGTGAAGAGGCCGTCCCCCCAAAACAAGGTGACAGATCCTAAGGAACGACACTCAAAGGTAAACTCTGACACACACACACACACACACACACACACACACACACACAGAAATTTGAGATGGACAAAATATTCAGTCTATAACAATGAGCAATAAAAATTGATTACTTGTAATGGATTTTTGCTTTGAGAATTGTCCTTTACACAATTCCAGAATTGAGTCTACTAAATGAAGATTTTCCCTTTAAAGTGATAACCCTTGGGAACACTAATTCTAATGTGCTATCACAAATCAAAATATGTCAGAACATGTTTAAAGAATTACTTTTGAAAAAATGAGAATTACTTGTATAATTGGTTTAGAAGACACATAAAAATATTTGTTTTCTAGTTACTGAACCCAACCAGTAATTCCCACTAATATTCAGTGACATAACTATACTGTTCAAAATAGTTGCATCTGCTTCACAGTGGATGTTGCCAGAAGGGTCTGACATCCAGATGAGGATGTCTCAAAAATAAACTGCTTTGATCAGTGGCAATTTTTCTATAATACTATAATCCCAGTGCTAGTGCTTATATAGTTATTAACACACTTAAGTGATTCTTTTATATGTGTAAAGAGTATTTTTTAGGATTGAGGGTTTTTCTTCATAGCATAAAGACCTGGAAGAATAGCTATGATTAAGTTCTGTTCATTTTTTTTTGTCTTTTTGAAGCAGGGTCTCCGTAGCCCCAGAGCTGTCCTGGAAGTCACTATGTAGACCAGGCTGGCCTTGAACTCACAGAGATCT